AAGAATAATATGAAACTATATATGGTGAATTAATTCCATGACAAATAAACATGATTTCAACCCGACCTCCTTAGATTTTTCTAAAATTTTTACTAGAGTTTGCATATATTATAACTAAGAAAAATGAAATTTTATCCTCCAACTCCAAACAGCGACTGAGATACGAGCCTCTAAGGTTGAAAAATGGGCCATTTTGGGCAAATGTTCTCCCTTTAATTTTAAATATAATTAAGCTTTATTTGAATTTATTTATATAGCCTAATGGTAGGCCTTTAAATTTATGTTAAATATTGTTTAAAGATTTTAATGTTAAAAACCGGAAATGGTCAAAATCAAATGGGTATTTTTTTCTCTTAAATTTTTATATATATAGATATAGGATTAATAAATAAATATGCAAATTTTTAAGTTGGGCCGAGTGTAGGCTTAGGAGATATGGCATTTCAATCATTATTCATTAGTAAAAATTTGTATTAAATATTTGATAGATTATTTTAAGCTAAAATCTTTTATGTATTTAAATCAGAAACTTGCAGAGGTATCATTTGCATAGCCCGGGTCCAGATTTTTTAGAATATATTATATTAATTTTTAATTATATAGGTAGACCTGTACGCCGGCCAGCCTTGGTTATGCCAAAAATGCCGCCGTTTAAGAAAATCACGCAGGCCAGCGCAGAAATTTCTTTCATATTTCATACCTTTTTATTCTAATAATTGGTCAACATCAGTTGTAATTTTTTTAATGTCAGTCAGGATTTTGATGAATATTTATTTTCTACTATTTTAAAATCATAATTAGATTGACGTCATTATAGAATTCAATCAATTAAAAATCTAAAATTCCAAAAGTTACCATAATTTTACATATTTTTAAAATGGATGCATCTACATTTAATAATTTTATAAATAATTTTAGTATCCTAACTCTGGATAATAAAAAATCCATAGTCTGGAAATTTTTTTGCAAAAGAATTAGAGAAATTATTACTGCTCTAAGATATAACTGCAGAGGTTAGAATTCGAGGAAGATCAAAAAAATGTCTAAGTACAATAGATTTAACATCAGACATGTTAGATCTTGACACCATTGATCCATACCCGGATACCCTTTTTCAAATTGGCAATTTCAATGATAATAATAACAATAATTCCACCCATATGAAAACCTTAAAATTAAATGTCCCAACATGTTGGCATAGTATATCAATTATGCTAGAAAGCATATCTGGATTAAATAAGAATTTAATTAATAATGTTTTTAAAAGAATTGGGAAGCAGTTTCTCAAATTATGAATCTGAGCTGGTAGAAGAACGATTAGCATTTCTTTCAAAATTTATAGAAACTGTCGAATTTCTTTCAGTATAAAAAGGGTCTACTTTAAACTTGGCGTTACTTCTTAGAAGTGAAATTGAAACAAATTTAATAGTAAATGATAGTGATAGTTCTGAAATCATTTCACTTAAGAAAATATGCTAAAAAAAACTTGTTACGATTTTCGGTGTGTAATCTGCAAGTAATAATATTAAGTATATTCTTTTATTTTTTATTTAAAATTATCTAGAATTGGCTTCTCTTTTAGATCCAAGATTCCAAAAATTGACAATTGTGTCAAAGTATTTAATAGAGCAAAATTGTTCAGCTTCAGAATTTATAATAAAACATCTTAAACTTATAGAGAATGATGATAATCAGGTAGTAAATATAGCTAATGAGGATCAAGATGAATTATTTAATTTAAACAAATATAAATTATGATTCCAAGTTAGGTGACTTAGAACAAGAATGCCAGAGTTTTCTTGGAAAACGATATCCACAAGATATTGACGTTCTAAATTTTTGGAGAGAAAAGAAGAGTAAACTTCCCAATCTTTCCAGGCTCGCCAAAAAATTCTTTGCATTCTATTGACTAGCACACCTAGTGAAAGAGTTTTCTCTACCGCTGGATTGACGTTAAATTCAAGGGCATCATTATTATCCCAAAAATTTAAATAAAATAATTTTTATACATGATAATTATAAAATTACGAAATCGATTTTGGATTTATAATGAGTTTTCTATTAAATAAATATTAAAAAATATGCCGAGATATCTGTAGAGTAGTGTATATTCATTTTTTTAAAAAATAATAAGCAATTAAAAAATTTATGTTATAAAAATTTATAACTACGCCGATTTTGTTGACGGCGGCTAAAAATCGGCTCGTCGCCGGCCGTCGATTGGTTTTTGAAAATTGCGCCGGCCGCCGATAGCTTCGTCGGCACACAGGTCTATTTATAGGTAATAATAGCGATTGAGTATTAAGAAAATTTGCCCTGGATATTTAAAAAACCTGGTCCACGTATATTTCAAAAATTAAAGTACGACAAGCTCAGTTTACCCGGGCCGGGCTCAGAGCCATGCAGGTCTCTGGTTTAAATAAAAGATAAGGTGTGGGAAAAGTATTTATGTAATATACTTATTTCATTCCTAAATCGCACAATTTGGATAAACTTACGTTTTGTGAAGACCTAAGAAATGCACTTCCTTGGATGACTAATCAGAATTAATCATTAAAGATATAATTTGCATTATAAGACATAAAATTAAGACATATGTTTATAAAAAAATTTCAGAAGATAATTTTAATTATAACGATGAATGTGAAATCATTAAGCAATTGGAAAATAAATTTGAAATAACACATTCTCGAAATGAAAAAATTCGGATATTGACGGTTTTACCAAATTCCTGGACCTTAAAAACAAGAAGAATTTTCTACGACTAAATCCTTGGCAAGGTTAGCAAAAAAATTGGTCATGGAAAGGATGTTTTATTCAGGGTCGTATGATGCCTGGTAAACACCGTATTATAACAATAAAGGTCAAAAGAGAAAACCAATTGAAAAAAATACTTATTTTATATTATCATAATATTCTAATTTTAAAGAAATCTAATATTGATATAAAAGTTATCTTTAATAAATTTGCAGATTTAAGACCAATTCTATTTTTTTTTCGGATGGTGTAGTAGATATATGGAATAAAATTCATGATCTACATAAACTTGAATTTGTAAAGCTAAATGACATTTTTTCGTAAAAGCCCATGGCAAACATTACCAAAAGATTAACACAAAGTATAGTTATGTTATGTAATGTATATTTCGATATTATAAATAAATTTTTGTCTATTGTTTTTATTATATAATTATAATAATTGAAGCGTTTATGTTTTTTTAAAAATATATAGAGATCATTAATATATTTTCTGTGATTTAAAACAAAATAAAATATTTACTGTGTCTATTTTTATTTAATTAATTAAAATAAAATCAAGGTAAAGTTCTTTAACAAATTAAGAAATATAAAAAGTAAGAACCCAAAAATTGTGTCTATTTAACAAAATAAAATTAAGGTAAAGTTCATTAACCAATTAACAAATATATTAAAAGGTAAAGGTACTAAAAGTACCTTCAGCGTAATATGAGAATCTATTAAACCCCTTAGATTCATTTAATTATTGTAGCAAATATCACTGGAATTAATTACGCATATTTAAAAGATGATGAATATGAAAAATTATCTTGTTCAAACCCATTCCCGGAGTACATAAGTTTCTCGCTTTATGCCACTTCGGGATAAGGTTAAATTATTTTCATATTGTGAAAATGATTGAATATTCACTATCTAAAAATTAAATTTTGTTTTCAATAGTTATAATATTGATTTGTATCTTTAAGTTATTTTGATGAAAATTCAATTCACCAATTAAATTAATTGAAGCCCCCCCCCCTTCCAACCTTCCCTCAAAAAAAAATTACCCAGATCATAAATAACTATTTATATAAAATATTTCATAACTTTTGACTTATATTACAATTATTGATTAATATCAAATATTTATTAAGGATATTTGCAATGGACTAATGATTAAAATGCCATATCTCCTAAATCTGAACTCTGCCCAGCTTGAAAATTTGCATATTTATTCATTAATCCTATATATATATAATTAATAGAAAAAAATACCGATTCGATTATATGACCATTTCCGGTTTTTGATATTAAATTTTTTTTAACATATAATTTAAAAGGCCTACAATTAATTAGGCTATATAAATAAATTTAAATGACGCTTCTAGCTCAATTACATCCAAAGAATAATTAAAGGGAGTGCATTTTGCTCTAAAGGCATATTTTCTAGCTGATCTGGTTTTCGAAATTTTTTTTTGATGAATTTGAACCTACAAATTATTTAAATTTAACTTGTTTAGAATGTAAGTTTAAAAAAATATTGCAATTGTTTTCTTCTAATGGTAAATTTTAGTGTTAGTGTTGCAATCAAAATGATTGGCCTAAAAAATATTTTTTATTTTCATTAAATACAATAAATTTTTGTATATGAGCCAGGTTTGGGAATATTTTTTAATGTGGGCTAGGTCTGATTAAAAAAATTAAGGCTACTATATAACTTATAAATAACAACTTTTCTACAAATTTAAAGACAAGACATATTTTTAGAATTTTAAAGCCTTAAGACTTTTTTTGATTTTTAGATATAAAATAATGACAAAAAAATCAATGTAAGTTCCGGTATCAGTGCAGTTTGAAATAAATATCGGATCTGGAAAAAAATTATGGATCGGTGCAGTCTTAGTTAATAAACAATTAAAAAATCCCAAATTTTTTTACTGGACATAAGATGACCAAGTATCAGTAAAAATTTTTTTTTTTCCTTTCTAATTTTCTTTGAAAATAAATATAGTTTAAATTGATTTAGTTTTTTAGTACTATTTATTTAATTCCTGAAAGAGTTAAAAATGCTTTAATTTTGCGCTTATAATCCCTAATATCTCAGGTAATATTAAAGCTAGTGAGTTCAAATTTTGTTTCTGTTCTCACTATAACAATATATAATATATCAGAATCGGAAGGGAATGCCTTTTTTGTATGTTCCAACATGGAATTTCTTTATTACCTTGTTACTAATTATATCTTTTAAAAAAATATATAATGAAGCGATTCCCGACCACATTCTCAATAGTATAATTTCACCCGACGACCCATGTTACCCTCCTTTGTCGCGGAGTAACGAAATTATCTTAGATGGATCTCAAACCCTCAACAACAAACAGCTCAATTCCCTCATAACATACGCTCTGCAAAACGAACTCATAGCCGATAAACAGGCCGCTCTCCTTAGTCAAATGGCGAAAAACTCCAATAACAATACTACGATTATGAAATGGACCAGATCAGACGGGTTTAAGCTGGAGGCCCAGAAATTCGGCATACCTGATGGTATATAATATTTTGCACATGTTTGTTTTATCTATTATTAATAAATATTGGGTTTTACCAATTTCCCTTTGACCGGAATTTAGGTTCAAAATATTGCAGTCTTGCACAGACAGATTCAAGTCCGATTTGACTTAACTAGGATTTAGACTTGACCGGACTTTGACGAAAATTTATATTATATTGTTTTCCAAATATTTTTTTGAATATAATTTTCAAGAATAACCACAAAATTGGTTATTTATTTATTTCTCATATTTTGTTGGTTTTATAAATATTTCTAAGAATTAAGTTATTTTGATATCTTGTAATTTCCAAATTATTATAATGCCTGAACGTTTATTAAAATACATATGAATTGACCAAAACGTAGCAGCATTAAATGACCACTATTATTTCCACAAAGTCATAAATTATTTATTCCATAAGCTTAATTAATTGTATTTTCTTTTACAATTTAAATTCAAATAAGATATAACTACTTGGAATAAAGCTCACGTTCAGCGCTGGGTCCTGTGGGCCAAACGAGAGTTTAACCTAGCTGCCCCGGGTTGCCAATTTCAAGCCCAAAACTTTAAATCACTACACGGAACGGAACTTTTAGCCTTAAATCATGTCGATTTTTTAAGAAAATGTACTGGAGACGGAAACATTACCCAAAGTTCAGACAAAACCTTGGACGTATTGTGGACTCACTTAGAACTCATGAGGAAATGTGGAATAGTAGCTACGCTCTACAACGAGAAAGACGAATCGAAACCGAAAGATAATAAACTCGGAGCAGGCAATTACTTTTTGGAAAATTTTAACGCCAAAAATTTCAACGGAAAGATAGTAGGAGAAAAGGAGGAAAAGGTGAAAATAACGATAGGCCCAGGAAAGAATAACGGTTTGAGTAATATGATAGGTTCTAAAGTGCCTCCCGGTGGTTCTTGTGCTAACCATTTTGCAAAATACGGTTAGCTATTTTTTATATCATCTAATATTTTTTATAATATTCATAAACACACAATTAGAATTTATAGGTATTAATAGCGAAAAAATTATCATGCTTTAATATATTTCACGTGTTGTAGATAAATTTTTATGCTCTATACCTAAACTATTATGGACTAGATTTTATGGCTACTGTTTTGTTTGATTTTATCTAAACAAGGTATAGACTAGGCTAAATATTTCCTTTAAAAAAGTAAAATAAGATTCACTTTGAGATTGTTTTTTTTTTGAATAAATTTTGTAAATATGATAAATTTTATCTATATTTTCGGTTAATTTAATTTATATACGTTTTATGTTGATTAGAATAGATATTTATAACATAATTTTAAGATTTTATGATTCTTTTAAGTAGCATGTTATATATTTGTATTAAATTCACAGGTAAGTATGAAAAAATGACAAACTCGTTTCAAAAATTAAAAACCAACAGGGTTATGCATACCAATGTCACTTATGCTCCATTCAGAAACGGTAATTTTGTGGATAATTTATAGTGTATTTGTTTAATTCATATAATTTGCATCTTTTCCTTCCATCTAAGTTTCTCCTACAAACATGATTTAACACATCATATAGGCAACGTGGGAATTCAACTTTGGCAATTTCTTTTGGAACTCCTGATTGACAAAGATTATCGTGAAATAATCAGATGGGTCAGTGACGACGGCGAATTTATACTCAGCAATCCTGAAGTGGTTGCCAATTTGTGGGGTCAGCGCAAGAACCGGCCTAATATGAATTACGAGAAATTGAGTCGGGCTCTTAGGTAACTCCTGATATCTTTTATTTTGTATAACGGTACAATTAAACCATATAAAAATTATATTGTCACCTTGTAGAGAGCGACAATTTATAGATTATAAATTGAAACTGGATCATGTTAGAAGTTTCTATATTGTCGCCTTAATATTGGAGATACATCTTGTAATTTTAAATGGAGGATTCTTTTGACTACATTCTTAATCTAGTCCCATAATTTTGTTGATTATAATTTATACAGCTCTTTTCTTCTCATAGTGTGTTTTTAGTTCTTTATTCTAATCAGTTGGGAAGAAACTCTGAAAAAGATGTAGACTTTTTTAAAAGCTACATACATTAAAAAAACTAATAATTATCTTCATTTCATAAAATTACCTAACTTAGGTATTATTATGATGGTCATGTCCTCACCAAGGTTCACGGTAAACGTTTCGTTTACAAGTTTGTGTGCGACATGAAATCGCTCATAGGTTATAGCGCCGCCGAACTGAATCAACTCGTTATTGAATGCGAGAAGGAAAAACTGCAAAAGCAGATGGAGCAGACCCTTACCTCGGATTTCGATTACGGCGAGAAATGAAATAGCATAAATCTTTATAGAAATATCACTTCCTCTCTCTCTATTTATCCAACTAATCTTTTTTTTTAAATCATCTTTTCGTTTCCTTTATTGTGGTAAAGGAATTGGGTTTTTAAATCCCATACTTTTATACAAAAGTCATTAAACGCGAAATTTGTTTATATAAGTATTTTTTAAAGGACCTTTAGTTTTATTCGTTATTTAACCCCCTCCCCCAACACTTATTAAAAAAACATATTCAGGTATCGTTACAAAACAATAAAAAAACATAAATTACATTTATTCTCTCGTAAACTTTATGGAATTAGAAATTATTTAGCTCTAAATTTTTTTTAAATGTAATTTTGTACATCTTAAACAGTATTTAGGTAATTATATTTGATTGGATTATGCACTCATCATTATTATATTAAAATTTGTATGTTGAAAATAAAATATATTTAAATCTAATATAAATTGATTAACAAAATTTTTTTTAATCAACATTTTTATATATATCAATATAATTTTGTAATTTATGAAGTATATTATAAATCGTAACCTTTAATATCATTCAATAATTCTTCCCATTTCCCCATTAATCGTTATATGTGTTGATTTGCTTTACTTAAACATCTATCCCTGTATTAATAATAATCAAGCACACGTTTATATCCCTATTTATGGGGCTCTTTTTTTAGTCTACTATATTTTACATGTCGGTGTCTTTATTATATTATTGACTCGTTGGTAGACGCCAACTGGGTTTCTTGTTTATAAATTAAATCTCTTTAAAAAATATTCTTAAACAAAAATATTAAGTATTCTTGTAAAATCTTCTTATAATTATTTAATATATATATGACATTTAAAAATACATTTTATATAATAATAACACAACCATCAAGTTGTGAATTACCTTTTTAAGTAATAACTATTTTATCTTATGTTAAAAAAATATTCATATTATTTAATATATTATTATAGAGAGAAGGATCCTTTAAATGCAAACTATTTTATCCGAAATATATTATTTTTATCAGCTCTATTTAATTTTGTTGTATCATTTTTGGTTAATCCATATTTATATTCTATAATATTTATATTATAATTTTTGTAAAATTAAAACAATATCAACTACAGCAACAAGTGTACTATTCAAGTCTAATAAATTCGGGAAATACTTTTATAATTATTTTATGTGTATATTTTTAAAAAGAAATTACCTACTTTTTATAGATATATTTTATTACTGTAATAATAATTATATTTAAAGTCCAGAAAATGAAATAAATCAGTTTTTTTTATTTTTTTGCGTCAAATGCAATATTTACTTATTCTATAATTTATTTTAGATAATTTTTTCTATCTTCTTACTTGGATATACTGTTTCCTTCATATTAGCTATAATTATGATGCCTATCAAAACTCAAATCTTGTTTTATTACTTAGGAATAGTGTTGTTAAACGGCTCGTTTTGAGCCGATTTTAAAAACGGCTAACTCAATATTTTAACCAGAAAAATATTGCCTAAGCCTTGAGATTTTGCTAATAGATGTTCAAACCTTTGTTCCTTCTACAAACAAAATCTTCAATCTTGCTTAATATTATTCAGGATGAAATATTGAGTTAGTCCTTTTTAAAAATCGGCTCAAAAAGAGCCGTTTAACAACACTACTTAGGAAGTTCGATCAAAAAGTCCAGCTTAATTTCTCATCAATACTAGGATGGTCTCTTTGTCCAGTATACCTGGGTGATGGCTAATTCGGCTCAATTTACAGGCACGTGCAGGATAAAATCCTTTAATATTAAGGCGTTTATTTATTTAGATCTTTCAAATTTGAGCTGTCTATTTAAAAAAAACCCGAGGTCGAAGTGATAGTTTTCGGCTAAAAACTCGGTTTAGCCATCTAAAAATATAGTAATTGAAATTGTTGGGGCCACGACCTTGGGCAGTTCAAACATAGGGGAGGAATCGACTGAGTTCGACCGGGATTGAGAGTGGGACCGGGGAACCAGATTTTGGTCATCGTAAAAAGCACTAATCGTGGGTAGTCGTCTATAGAATGTAGTAAACAACATATTTTAACTCAAGTTTATATATGAAAATTAGAATTTATTCAATTAAAATTTTTTGTCCAAGTTTAAATTCAAAAGAATAAAAAGATTTATTAAAAAATGCATAATCCATTAATAATCCCGATTACATATTTTACACGTCTTATATACTTAAAATTTCGTTGGCAACAACTTTTGTTCTTGTCCTCAAAAAATAACTAATGAAGTATTTTTATAAAGATTTTATACATGTTGGTCATCCTTAAAACTGACTAGGACCAGTTTCAAGTGAATAAAATATGATAACAAGGTTTTATAATTTGCAAAATCGTGTAAAAAAAGTAAAGAATAATAATGAACAAAGGAAATAAAATATGACAAACAATGTGGGAAGGCTTTGAAACAAGTACTATTATAAAAGATTTTTAAGTGAAGGAAAAATCATAACAAGGTATTGTAATGTATAAAAAAAATGGATATAAAAAAACAACGGGGTTTTGTTAAAACAACACTCCTCTCCGCTTAAACATTGCTACTCGGTTGGTCGCATCCCTGGATTAGGACGGATTTAATGTCTAAATTAATTTAATTAAACAAAAAAAGAACGGCATACTCCGCACCGTTAGATTAGAGCTGATTTAAGTCCTAAGTTAATTTATAGACCCCCCAAAAAATGAACGGCATACGCGCACCGCTGGATTAGAGCGGATTTAAGTTCCAAGTTAATTTAATTAGACAAAGAAAATGAACGGCGTCATCGCACCGCTGGATTAGAGCAGATTTAATTCCTACCTTAATTGGATATAAGCAAACGATATTCGCCGCACCGCTGGGTTAGGACGAATTATAGTCTTAATTTTAAAAAAATAATGTACAGACTAGAGGTGGGCGCGGGCCGTGGGTCACGGCGTGAGTGTGAATAATTTTTAAATTCCAAGGCGTGACGGGCCTTCCCAAAATTTTCTCCGAGAGTGATCGGGCGTGAACATAAATTTCCCGTGAATCACGGAAATTTTAATTTTTAAAATTGTTTTTAATTGCAAATTTATAATTATATTATATATTTGCTTATTTAATTTAGTTCTTTTTTAAAAAAGAATAATTTATGAAAACTAAAAATCTTTCTCATTTTATAAATAACATCCGGTATCATTTCGTTAGTTCTATTTTCTTTTTATGTTTAGGTGATTTTATCGTGATCTTTAAATGCAACAGAAAGTGAAGAATTTTACAAGCTAGGCCAAGAGATAAATGTTGGTGTTACATATGAATAACAAAATAAAAAAGTTGTGAACCGGAAAACTCTCATGAATACTATAGGTCCAAAAATATACCATGAAATAAAATTTAAGATTAAAAGCATGATCAATAATAATTACTTGTCGATAAACACTGATATTTGGACGGATGACTTTAAAAATCTAAGTTTTTTAACCATTATAGGACATATTATCATTATGTAATTAAAAACATTTGTTTTGGCCACAAAGGCAATGAATGAAAAAACGTCAAAATTATAAGTGTAGTCAATTCAATTTTAGGAGAATATACAGAAGTAGAAAAAATTACTTAAATAAATGTATAGTTGTGAGTAATAACGGAGCAAATCTTATAAGTGCATTCAAAGATGACGAAATGCTAGCATGTATATGCAATATACTAAATAATATTATGCATTATATTTTTGACAATTGTTTAACTGAAATAGCCTTAAATATATGTAAAAATACAGCTAGCACTGCCACACCCTTAAACAAGATGTAATAGCTAGAATAACGAGATGGAACTCTGTATATATGATGATAAAGAGTTTCTTAAAATCATATTCTAATACAGGTGTACTTGTTTAGCAAGCAAGAATTAAATAGATTAGCCACAATTGATATCAGCATCATACGCGAGTTAGATAAATTTTTATCAATATTTATAAGAATGCTCGGATGATCTGAGAGCAGATTCCTCCCACAATAAATGAAATTTGTCTATGGAAACAAAAATTAATAAAATTTTGTTAACCTTCTGAACGTGATACAATAATAATCAAAACCTTAAAATATAGAACAAGATTGCTTTTAAAAGATTATTGTGCAGCCACTACATAAGGTAGGCTTAATTCTAGATCCGAATTTCAAAAGACTTAAGTTTTTAATAAAAGAAGAAAACGATATATATAAAACAATCTTAAAAATGCTAAATGATATAAAATTAGATGATGTGCATAAGTCAATGCCAACTATCATTTATAACTTTCCAAACTTATCCTATACTCATAAAAAAACCGTATATTCTAAATTATCAATACCAACCATCACTTTCCTAATTCATCCTACACTCATAAAAGACCGTATATTCTAAATAAAAAATTTAGAGAATTTCTAGATTATTCTGAGGAAGAATTAACATCACCGATGGAAGCTGTGAGGATGAACTTAAAAGATTCATATAAAATAACAAGACAATATTTTGAAGTTTTGGAAGCATGAATATTCATTTCCTTTTTTGAGAAAATTAGCGAGTAATTTTGTCAACCCCGACAAGTTCGGCTTCTAATGAAAGGTTATTTTCTGTAGCCAATCTCTTATTAGAGGAAAGGCGTACACAATTGAATTTTTTCTAAATAAATTTCGATTTATAGATTGTATTTATTTTTTGTTATTAATATGGATTATGAAATTAGAGAAATAAATAGAATGAATTCAAAAAAGTGTAAAAATATAGCAATAGTTTTGAAAAATTTAAGAACACCGTGAATTTTCGGGCGTGACAGGCGTGAATCAAAATATTTCTTGTCGTGAGCGGGCGGGTTGGGTCGAAATTTTTTTAGTGATAAGCGTGAATGGGCGTGATATTTTTTTATTGCCACCGTGAGCGGGCAGGCCGTGAATGAAAAATTAGGCCCGCGCCCACCTTTAGTACAGACTATGCTATACACAAAAAAACGGGATAATTAATGTCAAAAAAAGGTAGAAAACAAAAAAATCGGAGTTTCTTTAGATTACAACACTCCTCCCCACTTAAACTCTGCTACCCTGGAGAGGGGTCCAAATGATCTTGCAGGTTCCTCCTGTTCTTGCTCGGTTCCTAGTTAGCTGATGGGTAGGATATTGCTGGGAAGGGTGGTTTCGGATGTATTGCTGGTGAATTATAATTAATGGGTTATTGTTGTATGTTTGTCTATTTGAGCAGTTGATTTGGTAATGTCCTAGGTTTCCACAATTGTAACAGGTGGTTATTCCGTTGAATATTGCGTTGTGGAGGTGAATAGAATTTTTGACTTGTCTGTGGTGGGTATACCTTATGGGCAGCGTATTGTGGCTATGGTACGTTTTGCTCATCGGAGTGTTGGTTTAGAGTTTCTGCCATTTCCCACGTTTAAGCTAATATTAATTTTCCTTTAAAGGTTAAGTTATCCGACGTAATTAATAGGCCTTGTATTTTAGATGACTGGATACCGGCTCCAAATTGTGATGATAGGAAGAGATCTCAGCTGGGGCCTAGATAGCATTGTGTAGCTAAAGTGTAATAGACTCATTAACCTTAAAGGCAATTAATAATATGATTAATTGTACAAATATATTATTTGTGTATAATGATTAATTGATGTATTTAGATTGTGATTTGTAAAAGATATACAATACAAACTGACGTACAAAATATATTAAACCGTTAAAAATATAATAAATTGTACAATAATAGTGAAATATGTCATTGGCGCAGTTTCAAATGGAGAAATAATATAAAGGAGCGCGAGATGGAAGTTTATTTATCAAAGATGGAAGTTTATTTATCAAAGATGGAATTCATTTTTAAAATCGCCAAAATAGATGACAAAAAATCATTTTTATTAGCAAATATTGGACTAGAGGTTTATTCAAAATCCATATAAAACCCAAAGTGCCGAAATTTAAATGCAATTTGTCATA